CATGAGCTGATGAGAAGAACAAATATTCTGAGGTTGTTGGATGGAATGTTCTGTAGATACCTGCCAAGTCCAATTGGCCTGAAGTGTTGTTTAGATCTTGTGTTTCTCTATTGATTTTTTGCTTAGATGATCTGTCCAGTGTTGAGAGTGGGGTTTTCAGTTTGCATTCTTTTATATTGATCAAATTTTTGAAATCTCTTTTAAGAAAGCAGTTGTGAATAAGGAGTGTAAGGAGAAAACCCGTTATGAGAATGCTGTAAAAAATCACAAGCTAAACAGCCACACCAGGCATATGACTAAGCAAGTCACAGAATGCCTGACACAATGACACATTTGGCAATAAAATGAACACGTATTTTATGAAACAAAGTTAAATAGAAAAATACACCTTCTTTTATTCACAAGTACAGGAATGTAAGAAAAAAATCTAAGACTATGCATAAAAAAAGTATCCAGAAATACCCAAAAATATACTACTGACTGATTTGGGTTATTAATCACTGAGGAATTTATATTTTTATTTTCCTAATTTTTCTTAAATAAATACTTTTAGAATTACAAAAGTATAATAATTGCAAATATATACAGTATATATATGTATATACTTATAAATGCATATGTGTATATATATATATTTGTATATATAACTGTATATCAATATTTACACCTACATCTATACCTATATTTATATCTACATTATTTATATACACATATAAATAAAAGGGGATAATATATACATTAGGACATCAGAGAGAAAACAAGGTTTTGCATAAATTTACAAAAAATGTCATACCTGTTCAAATAATTATCAATTCACATGAATTTCTTAATATAATACTTTTCTAAACCATCAGTCATATTTCTATGGATTTCACTCCCTGGGATATATCTGGGAGATAAAGGTTGAAGGCCTTTGAGGATCCAGGGGAAAAGGTCAAAGGAAACTGTTCTATTTTATCAGTAAGCAGCAAGTACTACCACTTCCTGATTTCAGATTAGGGTCTCTAATTACAGACCAGTAGATATATAAGGTTATGGCTAATAACAAGTCAACCCAGGAGAGTAGCACATCAGAGGAGGGAAATCTCCAGGTCTACATAAAACCTCTCAGCAGCTTTGAAGACTCTGATGATCAGACGTACACCACGATTAGCTTGAATAGCCCAGAAGACCAAACTACTGACAGTGCACTTTCAACTGAGGCTGGGAAGTCAGTAATATATTCTAGAATAATTGCCATTAGAAGCGAGATCAATAAAAATACTTTTTGATTCCAGGTTATAACCTTTAGGTACCACGGAAATAAATATTTTGGTATTTCTTATTACTGCACCCGCTGCAGAACTATGTTATTGTTCTGTTTTATGAGACTAGTTGGAGGAATCGAAGGAGAGGAGAGGACAGGGAAGGGGAGGAGGATGTGTGTATGTTTTATTCATGGTCCTGACATTTTTCCTGACCCAAGGGGTCTACGGCATGAAGAAAGTCAACCTCATCCCTGGGATATAGAATAAGTGGCTCCCTATTAATTTATAAGTTGTTTTATGTTGTTAGGCCAAGGCCAAATAAAGGAAATTCTAAACAATATCTTGATTTGAGGTGAGGGGCACAGGTGTACCCACACCCTCACCCAGAATGATTCTGGAATATAAGGATGCAAGTTCTTACAGCAAAGGGGCCACTAAAATAGGGAGAAGACCACT